GGGAATCATATCATAACATCGCCTCACATGTTGACCATCTTTACTCTTCTCTTTTTTCCAAGCAGCAATTTGATGTTGATAAGAAGCAGAGAAGGAGGCCGCCGTGTAATGTGCTTGCAGAATGATTATATGTGACATTCTGAATTTCGACCCATTTTTGGGATTTACAAAACGTGTATTTCGTCAGTGCGCTTATAACAAAATCTCGCCCGGAACTGATCACTCCTGGGTTATTTCTTTTTAAATTAGAGATTTCGCTAGAATCGCACTCGATCGAATTTGGCCGTTATTTAGAGCCCAAACTTTGATGTCGAATTTCTGGGAGTTTCGGGACGAATTTAATTGGACGGTGTCGATATTATTGTGGCCAGTGTCAATATTACCCGGGATAAGTGAAAAGTGAAATTTGGACCGGGTGTGGATTTGGACTAGTAGACCTCCCTCGTAGTGTGTTTTAGTTATTATCTTTTGGCCTTTTTCCTAATTTATAATTAGGGTTTTTCGTGGGCCATTGGATCGTTTTCGGATTTGAACGAGGATCGTCGGATCGCGCTCAAGCGTGTTTGACTTTCTCTTTCTTCTCTCTCTCTCCTCCCCCACGTCGCCGTTGCCCCACGCCGCTGACTTCCTCCTCTTTCCCCGCTGCCCTCCCCCACGTTGTTTCTGCCTATGCTGCTGCTGACTTCTTCCACCGACTCCACCAGCCATCATCACTCCCCCATGCTTCAGCTGACTCCCCACGTTGCTGCTCACCCTCACGTTGCTGCTGCCTCTGCTTTGCTGCCGCTGCCATGCCTCTGTTCTGCTGACTTCTGCTCTTGTTGATCATGTTGGTTGACTGCTTCTGCTCCTACGTTGCTTGCTGCTGCAGCTTCTGCTTCGCGCTGCTTCTTCACTTCTGTTGCTGCTGTTTTCTTCTTCATTTTGCTTCGTTGCTTCTTGCTTTTCTTCTTGCTGCTGCTCACCCAGACCGACCAGCTCCCTTGCTCAGCCACCCTCAGCCGCCGTGAGCGCCGCCACCCGCCGCCACTCATCTCAGCCACACACCACCACCGAGCTCACTCTCTCCCTTCCCTTCCATTCGTCCATCCCGTCACCACCACCACTCAGCATCACCAGCACCTTCGTCCATCTCCACCAGCCAACCACCTCAGCTGTCCGGCTACCGCTCGCCGCTGTCCAGGTCGCCGGAAATCGCCGAGCTACCCGTCCAACCGCCGGAGCAACTGCTGCTTGCTTGGCTTGGCTTTGTTAGGCTCCCTAGCTTGAAAATCTTGCTTAGGCCTTGAGTAAGTGGCTTCCTAACCCTTGACTAGGCTAAGGGGTGACTAATGGACATGTTAGGGATGGTTTAAGGGCTGTGGATAGTTGGTTTAGTGGCTGGTTGTGCTTGGTTTGCTTGGTGGTGCTTGTTGGTTAATTTCCGATAAGGTTGCTACTGCGTCGCTGGATTTTGCTATTTTTACTGTGACTTGTGTGGGCCGAATTTGAGGAAGTGTTCTTCATGAAAGTTGTTCATAACATCTTGAAGTTTGACATATATTAAATCTGGAATTTTTGGATATCATTTAGTTCCATTCGTAAGTCCATTTTTGGACCGGATTCAGTCTGCCGGATTTACTGTTCATCCGACCATCTGGTCTCTCCGATTTTCTACAAATTTTTTCAGACCTCTTTTCAACAAACTTCCTTCACAAAAATTGTTAAGAACATTTGTTTCTATGACATATAAAAATTTGAAAGCTTTCCAAAATGATTTGGGTACTGGATGAGATGCATTTTGATGGTCAGGCGGCCTGACCGGACGGGTTGAATTTTGTCTGACTTCAAGTGACAAAAAGAGGTGTTTAAGGTAGGAACTGGGTTTCGAGTTCTGCACGGAAAATGTTCATCAAGATGTTTTATACGACATATCCAAATTTCATAATTTTTGGAGCTGATTTACTATTTATTTTAAAGGAAATTCGGTGACTATGTTACTGCCCAGTTTGGCCCCGATTCTGTGCATACTCGATTTTTCTCTCTCTCGGGAACTGATCGGTGTTACCATGATATTTTGGTGGATTTAGTTGACATTGGGCTAATTTACAAAGATAAGAATTGATAATGATTGTTGAGGTGTGTGCATGGTCACGACACGTTCCGTCTAGGCGGGAGTTCTAGACGATGCCCGGCGGGAGTTCGGATGCCGTCTAGGCGGGGGTTCTAGACGTTGCCGATCGCGGTAGAGGCCGGATCGATGCTCCTTTGTGGAATGCCGTCTGGGCGGGGGTTCCGGACGTTGCCGTCGCCGAAGTAGCGGGACGATGCCTGGTTACGCCAGAAGACCGGCGGGAGTTCGGTGGCCCGAGGGGTCGTTAATAATATGGACTTAATGAGTGCGATTTGCATTGGGGAATGCTTTGCCTGAGTTAATTGATGAGCACGTCTGGATTATTAACCATGTTATGCTTGATCATGCCATGAATTGCTTTGCGTGTGCTTGATGGGCAATTGGCCATGTTATGGCGATATTCTAACGTGCAGGGCTTGTGTATGCGCCAAGGCGAGGTAAGGACGCCTGTGATTGTTTATGGCACGTCGATTGTTTGAATCGCATGTTTAGAATTGTTCGGAAGTACGCTTTGGCCTAAGCGAGGCTTAGGTAGTTGCTTATTGAGAAGTGTTCTCATGGTTGTATAACCAAACCATTTCAGACCAGCGACCGTGATTGATCCGGAGACGTTGCCAGGATACTACGGGGATTGAGGATAGGTCGAGTTACCCCGTCTTTTGAGTGCACCTTTTGCAGAGGAGTTAAGCTTACCAACCACCCGATCCTTGTTGTTGTGCGTGGTTCATAGATAGTGGCCTCGTAGAAGGCTTGCAAATGTATGTGTTGTAATCGACGTTATGTTTATAAAAGTGTCTTGTTGATGTGTATTCTTTGTCTCTCTACTATCCCGTTGTTTATATGTTGTACGGAGAGTTCGAGGTTGCTTCCGCATGCGTTACTCGTTAGTGTTTCGATTGGGTCGGCGACAAGTCCTGGGATGTCGCGTACATTACGACCACGAAGGGATGATCGCGCGCTCGTAGGGTTCGAGGCGTGACATTATACATGTGGATAGTTTTGACAATTGACATGGTGATATCTTCACTTGTTTGATGTCATATTACTGCTGAGGCAAGGCCCTCTAGACTGACTTCTTGCGGGTTCCCAACATTATTGCCGGTTGCTGATGCCTTGTAGAATTCCTTTAGGCATTGTGTGGCCCCCTGGTCACTATACTAGAAAATACTCTGGAGCTGAGCTTCAGTAGCATAACTTCATCATTCTAAAATAAAGTTATCAACCTATGTAATTTCTGTGCAAACTGTCTTCGTATCGGAGTTTCATGGAAAGACTGTAATTTACTGAGAATTTATATTAAAGCATGAACTATTGCTGCTAATATTCATGTACTTGATATCAAAGGTTAGAAGGAACTCCGCAAGGCTGAGTTTGTGGTAGATATACCAGGTTTCAACCGTGGATTAGGTACAATTTGCATTGTGCTGATTGTGATTACGACGCACATGGTTATCTTGACTAGTAGGAGGCCAACCTGTAATAAATTTTTGCCGTACATTCGCAACTATTTTTATAGTTCGTTGCTAATTTGCGACGAATTAATAAAAATTTTGTTGCTAAATTCATTCCGGAACAATGTTCGTGGCAAAAGTAAATATTTTTCGTAGCAAATTAGCGACGAATTTTGCCACGAATCAATTTGTCGCAAATTACTAACAAAAAAAAAAGAATTTCGTGGCAAATTAGAGACGAATTTTGCGACGAAAAATTAGCGACGACGAATAATTAGCGATGAATTTTGTGACAAAAAATTAGTGACGAATTTTGCGACGAATTTTTTGTCGTTGCAATTTAGCAACGAAAATTGAAAAATTCGTCGCAAAATTTTGCGACGGTCTATTAGCAACAAATTTTTTTCCGTGGCTAATTTCGTCGCAAATTCATTTAGCGACGAATTTTGCCAAAATTTTCGTGGCAAAATTCGTCGCTAAAATCAACTTTTTTTGTCGCAAATTTGCGACGAATTATTTGCGACGGATAAAGTTCGTGGCTAATTTGTGACGAATTTTGCGATGAATTTTTTTCCGTCGCAATTTAGCGACGGAAATTGAAATTTGCCATCACTAATTTCGTCGCAAAAGTCGTCGCTAATCCCTTGTTTTTTTGTAGTGGTAGTTTAGTAAACTACTAACTATGATGAATTTGACAATATTTCAATAAATTAGTAATTCATTAACTTCTTTAAAATGTTACAAGTTGGTTAGTACATATCCAATCCTCTATAGAATTTACCAACAACCCAATAAATTAGCTAGTTAACAATTATTTTTGAAATATTACAAGTACGGTTAATAAGCTAGGGCACTATAACGAATTTACTAGTATCCGAATAAATTTGTTTGTTTTTTTCAAAATTTACAAGTGTGCTTGGTAAACCACCAAGAATAAATTCCTAAACTCTGGTAATTTAGTAATGTACTAAGATGTTGGTAAGTCCATTGTAGGGTGAGTAGTCTATTAACCACACTGTAAATTTGGATGTCGATAAATTCATTATAATGATGATAATTTACTAGCCATACTTCTAAAATCTATAAGAAAGTAATTTTAAATTTATTTAGACGTTGGTCCATGATAATTATTATTATTTACTAATAGATCACATGACAAGCAAGTCACTGATCATACTTTTTTACAATTGTATTTGAAGCTACCATCAACTTAAAAAATCTATCAACCACCGGAAATTTTTCACGACTGGACCCTCGATTCCTCTTAAATAATGAGATGTACTCACCTTGTGGAGAATTGTTTCTAAACTTTACACGAATCCTTTATTGTGATTTAGATCACATGCAAATTTTGTTCCGATGTCTCGAAATTGAGAAAGGAACATAATCTTAGGAAAGGAATCCGTTGAACATTGGATGGCCCTATGCCATTAGCAGCAAAAGCGTAAACAGGACGAAAGTGGAATTTGCTAACATAGTTTCACATCATTGACAAGCATAGCATCATGATTATAATAACACAAAGTACTGCTAAATTGCTGAGCAACACTAAATTACCAAATGACATGATTTCCACTCCCCATGCCGTTCCGTTGACGGCTTGCTCCGACAAGCTTGAAACTAAAGAACACAAAAAAATTGGCTACTACTCATAAGGAGGAACAAGCCAACTACTAAGACGACTTTGCTTGAACAAGAAAGCAAGAACTTCACGAGATCAATAAAACATTGGACTGAATCAATGTGGAGAACAGGCCTGTTACCCTCTTCTCATTCTCCTCCTCAACTCGGCTACCTTCACTGCGACAATCACGTACACCATGTCTGCTTTATGATCCACATAGCCGAAGTAGGCGCGTCTCCAATTCTTCTTGTACACCAAACCGCCAACGACTCCCCAAAACCCGGTTGCAAACCCAAACATTATGACGAGGTAGAACATCACCTTTTCAATCTTACCTTCTTCATCGGCATCTTCTTCCGGCGCTTGAGGGGCCTCCGCACCGGGGCATTTCTTTTGTAGAGGATCACCACAAAGTAGAGGATTGTCGGCATAAATGGAAGGATCATCAAGGGTCTGGATTTGATTTCCACTTGGAATTGGCCCCGTGAAGTTGTTGTGAGACAAGTTTAGTTTGCTCAGTGATGTGAATGCAGAAAAGCTCTGTGGGATTGTTCCTGAAAGGTTATTGTTCGAAAGATCAAGTGACTCGAGCAATTTCATGTCTCCAATCATAGTCGGGATGCCTCCAGAAAGAAAGTTGTGCGATAAGTTCAAGCCCCGCAATCCAGAAAGCAAGGTAAGCTCTCCAGGGATCGGTCCAATCAATTTGTTGCTCGAGAGATCCAAATTGACCATAAGCTGTAGATCAAGTGTTGTATAGTCAAGGTCCACCCCTTTCACGACCTGCTCCACATGCTCTTGATTCCAATCCGTTGGAGCAGACCCGTTCTGCACATGCACGGGTGCAGGAACATAAGCCGGGGAGAGTGAGTTGCCTCCATCTATGCTTTTGTTCAGTTTCATCCCTTTCATATAGCCGAGACAATTTGGAATCATTCCTGTCATATTGTTCACTGCCAGATCCAATATTTGCAGCACGGAGAGTAGGCATAATTGTGAAGGAATACTACCATTGAACATGTTTCCTCGCAGTCTAAGAATCTGTAGTAATGGAAAACTTGGTCCGATCCAATGTGCAACACTTCCAGAGATTTTGTTCTCTCCAAGATCCAATAGCCGCAAGGTTCTGCAATAGTTTAGAGTAACGGGAATTTCTCCATGGAGACTGTTGTTGTTCAAGTGTAATGACCTCAGCCCGCTTAGATTTCCCAAAGAACTCGGCATGACTCCGGACAACATGTTGGATGATAAATCAAGGAGTCTCCAAGGGCTCTCCTTCCAACATGCAGGAATTTCGCCAACTAATTCATTCCGTCCAAGGTGCAAGTCGTACAGATATTCCATCTCGCATATTGAGGTGGGTATTGCACCACTTAAGCGATTATCATTCAGATTCAAGGAATATAAATAAGGCATCGCTAGACCAATATTTCGTGGAATAGGTCCTGATATTAAGTTGTGAGAGAGATCTAGATAAATCAGGCTAGAAGGAAATTTCGGCAGAGATCCACTTATTTGGTTGTGTGAGAGATCAAAAGAACCCAAGTTAGAAGGAAATTTCGGCAGAGATCCATTTATTTGGTTGTGAGAGAGATCTAAATTATCCAGGTTTGAAGGAAATTTCGGCGGAGATCCATTTATTTGGTTGTAAGAGAGATTCAGGTGAAAGAACAACATGAGACCTAACCAATCTGGGAGAGATCCTGAAATGGAGGCATTGGACAAATCTATGAATCCTGCGTCGACTTGCGTTCTCATCCATCGCGGAAATTCCGTTCCGAACTCACAAGACGCCATCGCAATGGACCGGAGATTGAAGGTTGGTATCCAGTCAGAATCCACCTCGATAGCTAAATGGTTGTTGCTAATATCTAAGACCGATAGCTTCGAGAGGTTGGAGAAATGGATTTCGGAAACTGTTCCTCTCAAGGAATTTACTGAAAGATCTAACCGGTCAAGATTTTGAAGTTGACCGAGACTGTGTGGAATAGTGCCATTAAGAAGATTGTTACTGAGATCTAAAATTGTTAAGACTTGCAATCTTCCTAATGCCTCCGGAATATTCCCTGTTAATTGATTATTAGAAAGAATAAGTACTCTCAAGCGTAACCAACCATACGATGCCTCTGGAATAGTCCCTGTTAATTGATTATTAGAAAGAATAAGTACTCTCAAGCGTAACCAACCATACGATGACGGGATGGTTCCATGTAATTGATTATCTGATAGGTCCAGCATTGTCAGGTTTTTCAAGTGCACCAGCCAATCTGGCAAAGGCCCTCGAAGAAAATTATTTCTTATCTGCAGTCGCTCGAGGTTTTTCCCGATAAGCCCCGAAGAATTTCCCTCCACAGAAAATATCTCCTCGTGAAGTTCATTATAGCCCAAATATAGTGACTTGAGGAACGGATTTTCCCTTAAGAAAGAGAACAACCCTCCTTCAATGCTTTGCAAGAGATTGTTTGCAAGATTGAGATCGACAAGACTTCTCAAGTTATCAAACCACCTTGGTACTGAAGAGTTGAAAAAGTTTGATGAAAGATCAAGGTAGCGGAGAGAAGTCATGTTTAGAAATATAGTGCTTCGGATGGGACCTTCGAAATGATTGTTTGAAAGATCGAGGTATTGAAGATGAAGAGAAGTAGAATTGGCCAAGTTGAAAGAGTTCCATGAAACATCGAGGTGCTGGAGAGAAGTCATGTTTTGAAATATAGTGCTTAGGATTGGACCTTCGAAATAATTTCCGGAAAGATCAAGGTATTGAAGATGAAGAGAAGTAGAATTGGCCAAGCGATCAGAAGACAAGTGAAAATTATGAAGCCCACAACCTGATAGGATCAAATGTGATAAAGATGGGAGTGTGCTGATCACCTGCATTAGGTCTCTAGATCTGTGAACAATTATGCCACTCATGTCGAGGTACTTTAATGCCCGAAGATGCGAAACCCACCGAATGTCTTTAACAACAACCATGTCATAATCAACACGGAGATCAAGGAATTCCAACTCGGTGAGATTTCCCCATTCACAAGGAACAGTGGCAGAAGAGAAAGAGTGGGACAAGTCAAGATGCCTCAACTGCTTCATGGAGCCAATGAATTTGGGCATGGATGCGTTCTTGAAAAAGATCCCGCTCAAGTCTAGGTAATTCAAGTATCTCAAGTTGAGCAAAGAAGAGTTTAGTTCACTAGCTGTAGAAAAAAACTGTTGCCACCCGTCGAAGAACTCATGTCTTACTGAAAACCATGTTTCAACTTCTAGCGGTGACAAGAATTCAATTTTTGGTGTGAGCTGAAGCATGACGACATGTCCATTTGCTAGGTCACATGTCACTCCGGTCCATTGGCAACAATCTTCACCGTTCCAAGAAGAAAGGAGGTGAGATTGGTCCGAAAGACTTTGTTTGAGCTGCAACAGAGCATCCCTTTCTTCTTCAAAGCACATGGAGGATGAGCTTCTGTTTCTGCACAGGCATACACATGCATTGTTTAAAATTAACAACAGACTTACTAGTACAAGCACTTTCATACAATCATGTCCCGCCATGAATAATGATGAAAATGAAACAAAAGCTATATTGCACACGAAAGCAACTCGATTAGGCTTCAAGATTTTGGTTAGGAGGCATTTGTTTAAACTTTGGGAGTTTGGTTTTGAGTGTGTTCTTTAAGAGTAGGCAAATAGCATTTATAGAGAGAGCAAGAGAATAAATGATAGTCAATGTAACCAATTACTGTTCTGTCGTGTGTGCACAATTTCAATTTCATCTTAGTAAACGTAACCGTCACTTGTTGATTTCAGTAGTATTTGAGAAGGAAATAGGAAAGCACGCATTCAACGACTTAGAGCTTGTCATGTTAAGGAACATAGAATTGACATAATTTTTGAGCTTGTCCTCTCACGCATATTTAATTGTTCTTCGTTATGAAATTACGTAGCAGCACCCCGATGACATGACTCCAAGTCGACCGTCTCCCGAAAAGTCGAAGTGGACATAATCTATTCAAATCATTGTGCTTATATTCAAAGATGGTCCCGTAGTGGTACGGTTGCATTTCATTGCCATTGATCGGACTGATGGATTTAAGGCCTGCATTGGCAACATGCATATGCCCCAAATAATTGATGAGATAGATGATTTCAAAAAAATCACACTTCTAAGTTTATTAGCTCGACTAAACCCAAGAGGTCATGATTATATACGGTCATCAAGCAATGTAAAATAAGGTTGGGAAACATCATGCGAAAACTTGAAGATTAAGGAATAAAATTAGCAAGAACCCACTATTAAATTAAATTAAACTTAAAGAGTGACATGAAGAAATTGAGGAACTTAGCTCTGGTTAATGTAGGATTTCGACACAGAATGTAAGTTTTTAGGTGGGAGAGGACTCATAAACATAAGGGCTGGATAAATCTTTCAAAAAGAAATGTAGGGAAAATTTAACACAATGCTTCCCTATAATTGGTTATTTGATTGATCCGGTGATATCACATGTAAAACAACGCAACTAGGCTTTACTCTTTTGATTTTTGTTTTTATTTTTTATTTTGGGCAATTAGTATATGCTTTATGAAGTGAGATTGGATGTTGTTAGAGCAAATGAACAGAAATTTATAGAGAAAAAGTGCTATAACATATTAATCAAGTCACAGCACCTTCATCTACGCGCTTTGGTGGGGCTGAACCAACAGCATAATGCATACATTCCAACAATCATAAGGTATGCACCATATCATAAACCATGCAATATAGCATAGCATAGACAGCATATGTCATACTCATTCAATTGCCCATGTCAAGAAAACTCCACGATCACGCTTTGCCATGTGACAAGGCTCAAAAACCATATCGACAATGGTTATGTGGCAAAGATCAAATTGGTGGTGATTAAGCCTCGAAACGGAACCAGTCCATGCACATGTATGTCATATCATGTCTCACTATGTTAGTTTGCAAGAAGTATCAAATCCATACCTCAATACAACATGCTAGCATCAACAAAGTTACTAGGATTGTTACTTTAAAAAATGCTTCTATACCTTTTGTTTTTTAGGTAATATGAAGTGAGTTTTGGCATTTTTAGACGACAAAAATAGAATTTGTAAAGGAGGGTGCGTGGGTGTGTTCCCATCTTACACGATATCATGCGCACTCGTAATTTACGTGCTGTATGAGGAACGGATGCACAAGTCACGACGTATCTAATAATTCCGGAGATCCAATCATCGTTTTGGTTTACGAGTGCATATGGATGTTTGCATGTTACTTTCAACTGAAATTCATGAAATCGAAAGTCCACGAATAACTCCAACTCGAGTAAACTTTTAGCACTTTTCCAGTCAACGTTTATCGCTTTTCCATTAATCTCTTACTTCATCCTTAGAGTAGTCATGCCTCACTTCCTTGATTGAAGTTGACAAGAGAGGTGTTTGCCTTGCCCACCGCTATAAGCCGACAACATCTTCCCTTAGTCACATCAATGGGGAAAACCCGCAAGACCCGCAAGCACCAAGTCCAAGTCTTGAGTTCCTTGTACTCATTTTTCCAGATCCTTTTTGTTCATATTCATTTATTTTTTGATAAGCAAATATCGTGTAATTTTTGTAACCCCAAATTGTTCTACAAATGTCCCTGTGGAGCACATAATGTCCCAAAACCCAGTAAAATTGTAAAAAAAAAAAAAACCATGTCCTCAACTATCATACACACTCAAACTATAACAAGATCCCAATTGTCCTGAAAATTTCCCTAAGTTTCAAACAGACCTAACAACATCAGAACAAACAACAAGAACAAAAGCAAGAAACCAGATATTAACGGGATATATGCCTGATTCTGTCATTACCAAAAATGTCCATCATGAATGTTTTAGTATAAACTCATATTTCCTCTAAGGGATGTATGTAGATGAAGAAATGACGAAAATTTGCAACAGGAAATAACCAGTCAATTATCTTGAGGATCTTTTTTGGGTCATAGGAACACGCTCTTTGATTATATATTCACCAAAGCATGATGCAGTCAAGGGATTAAGGGCTGGATACACATTATGTTGGAAGTCCGGAGTGGAAGTTGATACATTCATCCGGGGAGACTACCAAGAGAGAACTTAAGTCCAAACCCGTCAATAAATCCAGTTGAATTCACCTTAAGAAAAAAAAAAAAAAACTTAAGCTAATAAGTTATATGCCAATTATGATATATTAATTACTCCATATGTACCAATTCTCCGATATGAGACTTTCTAATATAACTCATAGGTGCATCTCAACACATTATCATATGCATCATAATAGTCGCACCTTCAGCAAAATGCAACATCGCCATATATAAAAGAGACTAGCAAACTTTATATTTGATGGTTAACTTAAAAACAATCTCTATATGACCGAACTCATTTGATCGCTCACGTCAAGAGAATCCTATGGTAATGCTTCACGATGTAACATAGCCCGAATAAGATGTGATTAAGTCGTGCAAATCACGTCGGCCGTGATTAAGTCCTGAAACATAACCGGTCTATGCATTTATATGTCATATCATGCCTCAATACATAGATTGACAGTAAGTATAAAATCCACACCACAAATCAACTGCTAGCATCAACAAAATTACTAGGATTGTTACTTGCAACATGGAGAGAGTTATTGCATGCAAAATCACGCAACTAGGCTTTTATACATCCTTTTGGACTAGTATTCTTTATCAAGTGAGTTTTGGAATTCTTGGAGCCAAAAAACAGAATTTTCAAAGGAGTGTATGGGTGCGTTCCCATTTGATACAATATCCTGCACATCCATGATCTCTGTGCCGTGTGAGATACAAGTGCATGTATCTTGCGTATCTAATAATTCCGGGATTCTAACCATCGCTTCGGTCTTCAATTGAAATTGAAAGTTTGTGTTTCTTTCAATTGAAGTTTGTGAAATTGGAAGTCCCCG